GATTGAAATTTCAATCGGTTTCAATCGGCGCTCTTTGATGCGCTTAGGCTTGCCCGGTCTGTCTTGCAATTTGCATCTTGTGCTGACAGTGTGCAGGCAACATTTGACTGTTGCGTCTGTTCCTTTTCCACCTCAAGCCCTACCATTAAAACCACCCAATGTTATAAAGTGGAACGTAAGCAGAAACAAGGCCAGATAACAAAAAGGAAAACACGTGCATCTTGTGCCTATTCTTATTTTGCTTCGTTCGCTTCATTTACCGTCATATCCTTGCTCTGAGATCTTACCACTAGAATTTCAAGTGATCGAAAGGGTCTTGTCTCGTTTAGCTTAACTTTTCAGTCATTATCGTTTTTGTATGAAGAAATCAGAAACCGTACCATCGTGAGTCTTTCAACATGACAGGAACTCGCGACTTCGTTCATGGTTGTAGCCAGTTTAATGAAAGAAACACCCATACACTTGACTCGCTCCTCTCACTCTCAACAAATTGGCCACAATCTACCCACTCCATTATGACTTCGGTCTAAACGTATCGCCTGGAAATTCAAGCATGAGAAGATGCACCAGAAAACTAATGGTAAGATTGGAAGAGGCAAAAGGAAAAGAAAAACTGTGATCTACTTACTCTTAATTGAAACAAGTTTACGCGTGTTCAATTGTGCTTAAGTTAGCACATGTTTGCATCTTGGTTGGTTGCCGGTGGTTTAGTTAGTACAAATACAGCACGCTTGTCTCTCTTTCACTGTTTTTGCTTTCTACGTAAATCAAAGGCACTCTTCTGTCACTTGTCAAAAAACCCAAGAGGACATGGCAAAAGATACAACTTTTCATAAGTAAAACTATGGCATGCTTCCGCGTTCCTAGCCTTCGTTTCATTCAGTTAACATTAAGGTTCCGCTCGCGCTGCCACCCAAGAAATGAAACGCAAGGTGTGAAGGGAGCCGTGCATTCCTTACGCGTACAAATTGATGCCATGTTATTTCATATCTTGGCCTAACCGGTCATTCGAATTCCACCACTAGAACACAAAAATTCATGGTGACCTTTAGCGACTTCAAGACGGCTATCTCTTTAAGACCAATATTTTGAAGGGTAAGGTTATAAGCTGAAAAATCAGTTCTCTAGAAGATAGAAGTAATTCCCAGTGAAGGGCACCAAACAATTAGGATTTTGCATTCTGGCCTGGGGTCAAAAGTCAAATTCACAAGCTGTGTCCGTTCGTATTTCGCTTCTCTTTTGTGCTTGTTTCATGTTTATGCCTCACGCCATTATAGATAAGCACAAAGGGAACGAAACAGGAACCCAAAAACCCACATGTCACAACTAGTGACCGGAGTGAAAGTTGGACGTGGAACTGAATGGAAAGAGCCTAAGGTGGAAAGTGTGCAGGGTTAAAAGGTCTTTTCTGGGTGCTGTGGTAAAAAATGCCAAAGAATGAAATCATGTTTCCGTCACATTCACTTCCCTCATTCCATTTCATCATATTTCGTTCCTGTGATTTACCTACCGCAAGAGATCTTTCTAACAGATTTCGTGCGTGGCTTGTGTTTAATCAAATAAATCAAACATGTGCTCCACTTGAAAAACGCCAGGATAAACCTATTTGCTGGCTACAAAACTATCTCATAGGAACCTTCTTGTAGCATTAATACTATTTCTACGGTATTGAGATTTACCATTCGATTTTGGGTAGACACGTATTTCCTCCTGCGGATGGTGATCAAGTACATGTAAGCAAGGCGGGTACAGAAAATACTCGATAGATGTCTATTGACATGATGTGCTTTGTACATTTTGCTATGCTATCTCCGCCACGTATTCATGCTGCGGGTAGACAGGGCTTGCTGTAAAGAAGCACACTGCAATCAATACTGACTGGATGTATCTTGCTTTTGATGGAGTCTTCTGCGCCTTCGAAGAGGTGGATATTTCAGTACTCCAGCTGTGTGTTGGGTTTGCGAAGGGGTGGCCTTTGCAGGACATCAGTTGTGCCTTGGGTCCTCAAAAACGTAGATCTTTGGGGGGGGGGGGCCCGCATATATATATATATACATACATACATACCTACCTACCTACCCACCTACCTACCTACCTGCCTACCTTACATACATACGGACATACATACATACATACATACATACATACATATGCACATATGCACATATGCACATACACACATACACACATACACACATACACACATACACACATACACATATACATATACATATACATATACATATACATATACATATACATACGTATACATACGTATACATATACATAAATCTTATTGCGTATATATTATATAAAACATACGTATTTGCATGCGTGCGTATATACGCATGCATGTACACATATGCGTATACGTATATCATACGTATACACATACGAATACAGATATGTATAATATGTACGTGTATATGTATGTGTAAATGCATCTATATGCTGTATGTCTGGCCCGTTTTTCTGCACGCTCTACGCCGTCATATGACTTACAATCTTCCGAGTAGCCGGTACGCAGCTCAGTTCTTGCACAGTGCCCCAACTTGGATGTCCACGAGTTTTGCGTTGGGAGCGGCAGGAAGTGTGCGTTGTCACGGGCGTGCGCCGGTGTCGTGCTAGTTTTTAGAAGCCGGCATGATCCTGGTCTAACGGCGAAACGGCTCTGCGTTGTCAAAGGGCGGAGACAACTGGGTCTTCGTCTACGGGCCCGGTGGAAACAGGACTTAAAGACTCAGACCTGCTCCAGCAGAGGTGTCTGGTGAAGTTAAGTCAGCTCCAACAGTGTTCAGAAGTTTGCTGTAGCCTTGTTTTGAACTCATACAACTGGTCTGCTGCCTTTGCTTCTCATCTTCTCAGAGCCCTCGATAGTCCCAACATAAACATGGACACACACCTTCACACTGCGGCTTTCGGAAATGCAGAAAGCGGAACCAGATACGAGGCATACAAGGCTTGAACAGTATGCGGCAGCCGTCAACGCTAACTCATAACTTGCGCTCAGGGAAGTGACGAAAGCCAGAAGCTGGCCATCTTGGCCCCTATGAAAGCCAGCATCACGGGCATCAGAGGGCATGTTCTCGGCAAGAAATCTATCCACTCACCCCTACCGTGATGGGTCCAGGGTAAGGTGGGACTCCTCGACCTGGCCCAAATTTTGAGGAACTTCTTGCATTGATCACTGACTTTTTTCTAGCCCAAGCACACCGCAGCGGCTGCAGTGGGAAACACCCGTCAGGTCATGTCAGGTCATCTGTTGCAGAAGGCTCGCACAGGAAAAGCAGCAATGTCCAACGGCATCTGATTTTCCTGTAGGAATTTCGCATAATTCAGAAGAACGTTTCTACATTCCAGCGGCAGAAATGGAACGGCTTCATACGAGCAAGTTACCAAAAACAGAAGAACTCATCCTCTCGAGACAGCCTGCGGAACGTAGGTCAAAACGTCGCCGTTGGCCTTGGGGCATCACGAACTTGTGGGAGCATGTCTGAAAAAAACAGCATCTCCGAGTATGTGGCTCGCACAGCAGAGATGACGAAGGCCTACTGCCAGGACTAAGTCAGTCAGTCAAGCTCGCTCTTCTCTCGGCAGGGATCCTTGTCATTTCGAAGAGTTGCTGCCACATGAAGGAAGGCCTTTGCACGCCTGCGAAGACTGCTGTCAAATGTTTCAACGATAGACGGCAGCTACCCCGAATCGCTCAGCAGCTTTTGGGCTGCACCTTCTGACTGCCTCCAGCACAAACGTTCTGTCCTGGGCCACGTATTTTCATCGACTGACACATTGCTGCTTTGCCATTGTGCCAGTGCTCCTGTTTTAGGAGTGGAGAGGCATGCCGAAGAGCCTGGCTGCACACAAACACGAGTCACAAACACACGAGCCAAACAGCTCTTCAAAAGCCAAGGCACCTCCGCAGCTTGGGCTACTGCCTCTGCCACAATCTCCTTGTTCGCCTGACACAATCATCTGAGGCAAAAGATCTATCGCGCTGCTGCAAGATGTTGTGCTGCTTGCATCTAATTCGATGCTGGTGGCATGCACTCTAGAAGGCCTGACGTGGAATTAGCTTGGCTTGCTTGACTGAGGCACGCTGACACGCCTCGATATTCGATATTTTAGCTTGAGACCGGCTTGACTGATGCATACACGAAAATCAGACCTGTAGGGACTGCTTTCCATGGGTTGTGATCCTACTTTTCTAAGAGAAACAAACAGTGCTGCAGCATATCGATTGTGCACCTTGCGAATCCTTGCAACATAATCAAAATCCTAAAGGGAGATCTGCATTGTTTTCCCCATGGTCCAGAAGTCCAGATGTCAAGAACAACTTGATCACCGCGGTGTTAAGCCCGATAGCCGATCTGAATTATAACTATAAGTTATAAGGGAGCTGCAGTTTGCGGATGCCCCCAACCCCCACTGCTAACAGCTGTCGTCAGGCTGGGCTGGGCTCAAGCGGCCTCTGTTTCTACTCGTACCTAACCTCGCCAGGGCACCTGCAACTCAGCAGGCGTGTGCATCAAAGCTTCGCCATCGTTTCGTACAGCGGCGCACACGACCTCGATCATCGAGGGACTTCATGTCAATGTAGTCATCAGGCTTCGCAGTCGCTGCACTTGCACCTCGTGGTCTCTGCGCAGCGGCAGAGGGACAAAGCGCAGCGCTGTTCCACATTCGTGGAGCGCTGCCAGAACCAGCTCCTCGAACATGCGAAGCGCAAGAGACCGAGCGAAAGAAGGTTACAGTGATGTGGTTGGGTTACATTTCCATGGTTACACTATGTTACATCGTCCTTGTCACGCAGCAACTCTTCGCTGCAGTGCATCAGCATGCTTCCGGAGTGCTGCACTGCGGCAAGCGCCAGCTCGCGGTTTTGTCGCAGGCAGTCCCGGACTTCTCCTTCGGACTTCGGTCTGACTTCATGGATGCTCTGCAACTTTTGCACACATGGGTCCTAGTTCTTGCAGCACGCGACCATCGCAAATCGCGTCAAAGTCGGCGCCTGGAATCAAGCCTCCCAAGACCTTGGAGAGCTGAACCACTAGGAACGCTCTCACAGACGTCAAAGGACACCTTTCAAAAGCACCTTTTTCAAGCTCGGTGGCCCGATCCAAAGCCACTGCCCAGGCAGGCTGAACCCTGGCATTGCACGTGGCTGGGCTACGGCTGCATCAGCTCATGGGTCACGACATTGCCTGACCATGGTCAGTTTGAGCGGAAGGTCGCCTTGGCTTGCGGACTGCAAATGACTGCAAGACAGGAAAAGCTGGCGGATGCTGGCGGGCTGCTCTTCTTGCGAAAAGCCGCTGGCAGCGGTCCGGCACCCAGCGCCGTCCCAGCCCAAACCAGGCGGAAGTGATCCCCTAAGAGCTTGCAGGGGGGGCACCCAGAACAGCACACGGGACACGGGGTCGGCGCCTGGGACGGCGGTCTCTTGGCTGATGGCCTCCATCAAGTCCTCTACGGGCAAAACACAAAACGCAACTCTCGCCGCTCAGCTCTCAGCTCTCAGCTCTCAGCTCTCAGCTTGCTGCTCTCAGCTCCTGAGTTGTCGTTGCCTTGGGCAAGTGGACGAGGCAAAGCTCCGTGTGATGGAGGCCACAGATCACCTCCCCACGACCACCCGAGCAGCTCTCAGCTGAGGGATATACGACCTCCGGCCTGGATCCCTGCAGGACCCTCAGGCATCAAGGATGCATATGCTGCTGAGGCTGCCGAAGCCAAATACTTCGAGTGGGTCATCCCGCAAGCGCTCGCCATCGCGAGCAATGCAACAAGCTGCACTTGCAACACAGTTTTACATTTGGTACTAGTAGAAGGTAACAATACCGACTCGTGCAACTGCACTCGCTGCTCGTACTGGAGCGCATTGTACGGACACAGACTACCATCCGATTGCTCATTTCGCCCTCATTACAACCATCTGCTAGCAATGCTGCGGTGATCTTCACCTTTGGTGAAGCCCTGGCCAGCTGAGGCCACACAGAGCCATGCAGATGCCACGGAGGTATTGAAGCTCACGCTCACAACCAGACAGGTCATAATGCTAGCAGCACAATGGCACTTCCACTGCAGCCTTTCCTGAACAAAGCAGGGTCAAGCTGGGGGGGACCTTTGCTCTGTTCTTCTTCTTCGCAGGTTTCTTGGTTGGCCTTGGAGAGACATAAGTCTGAAGGGTAAACCGCTGCATCTGCTCACACACGTGCTCCCATGCGCTCGCGCCATGCTTTGAGGCCAGCGGCTTCTTGAACTTGGACATCTCTTCTGATGTGTAGAAGTCCGACTGAAACTTGTTCTGCAATGTCATGTATATGTCGGTCAACTCAAGCACGAGACGACAGTGAGGGCATCCCGCGGGCGCACCCCAAAGTCCAGGGTCTGATTCTCGCTCATTGCTGTCAGGATCTGCAGCCTGCTCAAAGGATTTGCTGGCTTGTGCCACGAGACTTCACGACCGGATCAAGTGCCAAAAGCCGGAGTTGGCCTCTTCTCCGGATCCCTCTCTTCAATGACTCCAGTGGGCACACCACCGATCATGAAGCCGCTCGGTGCGACCGAAGGATCGTCGTACCTCATGGGGCTACGGGCTACTTGGTGGCCAAGGCTGATGCAGGCAGTGAAACTTACTTGTCGAGGATGTCCGCCCCCTGCTTGGTGGGATCGTACTCCACCTGAGACCTCGTAGCGACGACATGTCTCAACATTCTCCAATACCTTAAAGCCACATCTTCCACGGCCTGCCTAATGGCTTCATGCTTCTTCGCCTTGTCGGAATCTAGCCTGCCATGTCCAAAGGATGGTGGAAGCTGCGGACAAGAACCCTGCACAACCCGGCAATGCTTAAACGGAATCAGACAAAACAGGCGAAGCACAGATTGACGTTGGACAGCTCGTCCTGCCTGATGGGCCAGCTGAAAGTGCACTCTGCAAGGTGCTTAGACTTAGAACAACTGAGAACCCGGCGTTTCGACCAGGTTGCCGTCCTTGTCAATCAACCGCTGGTCGCTAAGAGTCATCACCATGGTCTGGGCCAGGCAATCAGGGCTTCTGCACGTCAGTTGCGCTTCTGTGGCACCTCTCCCTCTTTCAAGGCTTCGGAGTCATGTCGTACTTTCATCTTTGGAACCTGTCATCTAAGCAAGCTACACAACTGAGAGTGGATCACTGGCACCGAACACGAAAGATTGCTGTGCTTGCCCAAGGCTTGAGCAGACACATCTCCGCCGGGAGCCTCCTTCCTGTGAGAACACTAGCACGTCATCGGTGCTGCCATGCGAAACAACATTGCGAAGACGTCTGCAGCCTACCACTGCTGTTGACCTTGAAATCACAAGCAGCCGTCTAAACTGGTAAAGACAAAAAAAGTGAGTAACCTACGAGTATGGCGATTAACAGAAGTAACAAGAACCGAACAAGGCGACATGCTCAGGAGCGTTTCGCAAAACGAGAGACAACAGGAAGATTGGCCCACTCTAACAGTCAGGTGGCGTTTATGCGGACAAGGATTAAGGGGTTCGTGACAACAGCCTTGCCTTGGCATATCTTGGCATTGTTTCAACCCACACGCTAAAGGAAAAGAACGGAAGGTGAAAGCTCTACCTCCAGTCCTCAAGTCAGCTGAATTTCCCACTCGTCTGAGACATCAATCGACAGGCTGCCTCTCGTCTTCGAGCCCCTGGACTGCAGGCCTTCTTCATGCAATAAATGCATTGAATTTTCGGAAGGGCGGCGAAGAACTCAGGAGCCATGGAATTCACAAGTAGAACCGTTGCTCTAGCTACATGGACGTCGATTGCAATTAGCGTGTGCTTGGAGATTCGTCCCGTGCTCAGTGGCAGGATGGGGGTTGGAGGGGAAGCGTTGATAGCACGAACATGAACGTGCTGTCGTCATGGAGGCAGTCTCTTCGTTGCCATCATTGGCAGTTGCCAGCATCATCGGTCCAGCCGGCCGTCGGATATCTTGAGAACATATGAGCGGCGTACCCGACATGCTCTTGCTTTTAATAAACAGCATTTTGTCCTATCTGTCTATGGTGTTAGTATCAGGAGCCTTCTTGTCTTGCGGCACTTAGTACTGCAGCTTTCCAGTATGACAACTCGGTCCTCTTCTTGCCATCATCTTTCTTGGCAGTCGCTCCCTTCATACTTCCATCTGCGCCTCTTGTCCTGTGGTTGTTGGGGCAATGGGATGCAATTGGCAGTGACGAACTCCCTCTCTCGATGCGTGCGCTCAGCCTGGCGATCCAGTCCGATGCGCTGCCCTTCCCCTCCTTTCAGGTTGACGACTTGTTTCGCAGCTCATCTTGAACGTCCGAGCGCACCTCCTTTTCAAGGATATCCCCCAATCCGGCGCCTTGCACCAACTCCTGCGGTCGAATCCGGTGACGGGAGATGCGAAGGCGACTCCGAGTCCTCGTGGTCTCTCTTCGACTTGGCAGCTGCAGCCTCGCGGCTTCCGAGCGCTTCGAAGGCCGCTTATACACATGGCTCAAATAAGGCTTTATAAGGGGCCCTTCAGAACCCTCCAAGCTCCGCCTTCCGCTTGCTCTCCTTGTCTGTATCCTTGGCATCTTCAGCTTTCTTATCTGCTGGAGCGAAGACCTCAGCTTGGCAATGCTTGGCCGGCTCTAATGCTGATTACCTGCTACTGTGTCTTTACCTGACATATTTAACCCATGCAAGACAGAAATCATGCTCCCAACGACCGGTGAACATAATGCGCCGTTTGAAGTTCTCGACTTTGACGTGGGAGGCTGGCTTCATTGCTTGGGATTGAGATTTAGGGCTTGCGAGAGCTTTGCTCATCTTCCCTCATAGTGAATCAGAAGCCGGTTGGGCAAACTTGTGGGCTTGGCACCATTCCACAGCCTGGGACCGGGCAGGATCGTTGGAGCTGCCTTTGGAACCTCAGCTCGGGAAGCTGCAGGTGACGGAGTGGGCTGCGGCGGACATGCTGAGCACACGGCTTTGTGGCTTGTCCTCTTTGAGCTTCTGGATTCCAAGCCTGGCAACATGACAGACAGCAGGGGCACGGTGACGTAGAGGTAAGACATAGCCAGGAAGGCTTCTCGCGGAGTTTGTTGCTTTCTTCGACGGATTGGCTGATCTGCAGACAACAAAGCGTATCACGTACATGAGAATCCCTGTCGCGTTGGCATGACATACTATGAAGGCTTGCCGGTGGTTGGCGGACTGCCTCGCCCGCTTTCGGCGGCATTTCCCTGTTAATTGGCCAAGCCTTGCAAGTTGGTGTCTGAGGGAGAAACGGATTCCTCACATATCTGCCGCGCCTGCGGGCTGCCACTGCAAAACAGCCGCAGGCCAAGCTACGGTTGGCCCAAATCTGATGAGCCAAGTGCCGAGCACAACTGCTTCTAAACTATACACCTGCAAATTGCATGACGTCAGGCACAAGGCTTGGTCGCTGTGCCAGGCTACAACCTTTTCTGGGCCTTTCGCTCATGATCCCTCACGCGAGTAGCTGCTTCCACCCGTACGTCACAGTGGTTGAATCAAGCATTACTTAAAGTCGAGACGGTAGATTGATACTGATTCTGATAGCGATTCCACACTTGAGTTACGACAGAGAGCATCCGCTTCCACGGCCCTCTCATCCAGACTTTCCCAGCCTGGCAACCAGGTTGCACATGCCGGAGTAAGATGCCGCACAGCTAAGATACCTCGCCACGACAGTTTCTCCCAGAACTTTCATGTCGTTTACAGCCTCACGACACAGCAAGCTGATCAAAACGTCGTTCGTAAGTTGGCAGCATGATGAGAAAGCAGAGCCTGCCTCAAGTGCCATTTTGGCATGTGCCGGCTGAACGAACTGGATCAACGCATCTGCACCGACACCCACAGCATGAGAACGCCGTCGGATGTAAGCGATCTGCACGCAGGCAAGCGCAGAAAAGGATGCTGCAAACAGAGTTTCAATAACTCGCCAACAATTATGCCACTACGATCCACTACGTGCAAGGATGTGCAAGGGTAACTAAGTCGCGGGGAGGCTGGGATGCCCACTCTACTAAATGCGAGCAGCAGAACACACCTCGCAGAAGTGATCCTCGCTCTCTAATATGCAGTTTGAATGTGGCTTCACTGCTGGGGATGTTGATGTTGTTGCTGTGTCGAAAACTGATGTCCCTTGGCACGACTACTTTCACCTGGTTCCCCTTGCCCACATCCCGCGGCTTGATCTTTGCTAGATTGTGTTTTCCGTTGCCCCTGCAGCATCTAGTTTGCTTTATGAACGGTGTGAACATCACAAGTCGTACGACCGGCTCGGTTGTCGTCTAGACTCTATTCAGGCATGCATGTGATACGTGACATCGCAGGACTCCGCCTTCCCGTAACACTCCATGTGCTGACGCAGCCGTGGCATGGTCAAGTGATAGGGTACCTGCACCACACTCAGCTACAATCGCGCCGACATCCCCGGGACAACGCCCAAACCCTTGTTTTCGACGATGAAAGCCGAAATCCGAGAGAAGCATCTAAGGAGGCTCTGCAGTGCAACCATGTAGCGGGGCGGATGATAAGCTGCGCTTCTGGGCTCTCTCTGCCACCGGCCTGGAGGGCCCGAGACTCTGCTTCACTCGGAACTGGGAGAAGGTCAATTCTATGCCTTCCTGTGCTACGCTTGCCTTTGGCTCTGCACAGTCCTGCCCGACCTCGACTGTAGTTCGGCTGGAAAGGCCGATTGCGCGCACGCGGCTCACAGTGTCCAGGAGCTGCCCGAAAGCCAGGAGATGTGAGCAAACCAGTGTGGACAGCAAAGACACCAAGGAAGCTTCAGTTGAAGGTTCACGCCTCGTCTATGCGCTGGTGATTTGATGGTGTGGAGAACTCTGCGAGTGTCTGGATGCACCTCAGTGAACTCAGAAATTTACTGTCATAGCTAAGTTAGGGTTAAAGATCAGAAACGTGTCTCAGAAACTACTTCCCGTCCACTGGCATCTGCCGCGTTGGGGATGACGGTGAGACAGCTGCGGGGTGGTGCTGTCCATGAGTTAACGTCCAATGTGCGATCGTTACTAGGTGCAGTACTGTGAGCATTTTCATACCGTGGCAAAAGTCCAAGAAAGATCTCAATTTCAATATCATTGCCATCGAGGACAATTCGCATAGTTGGGAGTCTGGGAGACTGCTGAGCATCGCACTCCGGCAAATCGCCCACTGCTTCACAGGCAATAATGCTCTGGATTGCACTCTTCAACCTCACCACACAGGACACAGCCCTGTCCATAACTTGAGGGCCCGTGTAACCAGAAAACTTGCCGAACCCATCACACCGCAAACCTCTCGCAGACCTTGCCCATGCCGCGTTTCGTGAGTGCATCGCCCAGCGCAAGCCACATCGACACGACCCACCAGTGCGCGAATTAACGAACTAGAAGCCTCGTCTCCAGCATGGCATCTTCATAGCCTCCGTGTGCTGAGGGGTTGGGAAAGGGCTTGATGCGAGTGTCTGTCCTTGTCTCTGAAAGCCAGCAGCCACCACGTAGAAACAAGGATCCGCCTTGAGAACTGTCGCCAGAAACCGCGAGACTGCAGCGAGTCGGTCGCATTGGTCGCTTCTTGCCTGGTGGAAGCTCTCGGACTTGAAGGGGAAAACCTCACTCGAACAGCGCATTGCGCCCATCGCCTACCTCTCCCGGAAGAACTCCCTGCTCCCGGCCTCCTTGAAGAAGGCGATCACGAGCCCCAACAAGCGCAGGATCGCCTCACATGGCATTGTAAGACCCGAAATTTCTCCTTGACAAAGCAGCCTCGCGGTACCAGTGCTCTTCCTGGTCTCCACGTCCACGCCACCCGAATCGGAAGAAAAACGTACCTGTTCATGACAAGATGCGCCAGTGGCCTGCACATGGTTCCAGCCTTGCCTCCTTCCTGAAGCATGCCAAGACCCAATCGGATCTCCTTGCCGGAATTGGAGTTCCAAGCTACAGGGAGCCAAGTGCATCTGAAGTATCGAAGGCTCTTCCTGGAAGGTCAGGGCCCAAATTCCCAAAGTGGCACACCTGGGAAGACAAAACCAGTTAGCTCCTGGAGACCTCTGCGTATGAACCCATCATGCCGGCAGCACGCAGCGCCGATCCCAGCAGCCTCGGAATCATCGCCTGTTGCACCCCAAACTGGCAATCCACCCGCTGCCACACACAAGATCTGATTCGATGATATCTGATATGATACTGGTGCTTGAAGCGACCACGACAAAGCAATGTGTACTTCTCGACAAATGGGCAGGCTGTAGAAAGCCCATGTCATGTGAAAATCTACTGCTGGATGTCTCCCAGAGTGGCTTTCTGCTTGCTCAGTGACCGGAATGCAGACAATTAGGTAACTACTGCATCGTTGTCATCAGAATCATAAACCCTTAAAGTGATGCTTGGGAGCACGCCGGCCCCCCATGCGAAGCTCCGCCGACTGTCTGGAACATGAGCCCGAAAAACATAACTGCACAACATTTAAAATAAAAGTGCGGACGCTGATGGCTCCTGAATGCTCCTGGCATGTCTATTCCACAGTGGCTCCGGCTACGGCCTTGTTTGGCGTTTTTCGAGGTCTTATTGCGGCGCTTGGCTCCTCGGGTTCGAGACCGCTGAGTCTTGGTCGCGGATGCCGGTGACAGCTGGGCATCAAACGCTGATTTGCTGGGCTCCGTCTTCCCAGGTCCTGGCATGTCGGCTTGGAGGGGCTCGGTATGCGCTCAAACAACTTCGACGAGCACGGCAACCACACGACGTCAACAAGCCACCGAACAACCCATCAACCGACCAGCCAGCCGACCAGCCGACCAATGGCGCCAAAGCGACCTGCGCGTCTGCCATGATCACATCAACCAACTTCGGACCTTGCCAACTGACAGAGAGCCAAAGGCCATGGCTGCTGTAAAAAAGAAGCAGAATCCCAAAGATGAGAGGCTTACACTCCAGGTCTTCTGGAGACTGCAGTTCCATCAGGTTGCTTGCCTGCGAACAGCCCGAGGAAGCGACTCCAAAACAGTCATCTTTATGCTTCGAGCTCAGTCCAAGTCTTTTGTTTTGTGTGCCGCTGTCTTAGCAAGCCGGAGCCGTAGACAAGCCTGCACATGGTACCGCAGGTCGTGCAGCAGCAGAGGGAAGCCACCCGCCTGCAAAGCAGTGGTCCAATGTCATCCGCATTCGTGCATCAAGGCCGAATCAAGGCCGAAGACCTCAAACGGCAAAGTGACGCCGTAACCAGTGCCGCCATCGCCCAACTCCTGGCAAACTGGGGCTGCGCTGAGCGTCCCTCAGCCGAGTGAAAGGTGCAGTGGCGAGGCTTAGGTTGACTCACAGTCCACACTGCGTGCGCTCTTTTTGTTCTAGGTATCATTCCAGGTCTCGTGTCAGGCCTGCATCAACCGTGGAAAAACAAGTTCTGGCATTAAACTCTCTGGCTCCAGAGCTGTTTCTGTACAGTCGACAATTTCCCTAGCTGTCAGCACCATGCAGATCTTGCTTTGCTCTGCAATGTTCTGGATGTTCCCAGCCATCCAAAAAGGCTCGAATCATGATGTCGTGGTAACCCAAGTTGAAGAGGTTGACCCTCTCGAAACCTGCCATCTGGTGTTTCTCGGCCCACGAGCATAAATTCGTACAACGCTGTGCCGTCAGGGATTCTAGACGACCAAGGTCATGCTGCACCACACAAGGCGCAGATGCCGCTCTGCTCAAGCGCGGGGTTGCGCTGGTCCGGCTCGATCGCCCTTGCGAACACTGGAACATCCAGGCCACCGTGTCTGGAATGGAAATCTGGTAGGTGGCCTTCCCCTCACCCTGCCGTGATTATCAAAGCATCACCTTTGGGCAATGACGGCAAAAGCATTCTCTGCATGTGCTTAAACATGTGCGCCTGAGCGGCCACCTCGGCGCGTATGTCGCACATATCTCACCCAGTCAGAGTTTCGAGGTCTAGCCAGCGCTCCACTACCTGAGCCAAGAGACTTTATGTCATCTGTGCGGCGGTGCGAAACCTCAGGACTAATTGCAGCATCTTGGATCCCCGCATAGCGCCATGCTGCCACGCTTTTCATAAGACACTCCTGACTGTGAAGACAGCGGTGCTTTTGTTCTTAGTATGTCCCGCAACTCCACTCGCAAATGCGGTGACAAAGCACCAATGCTGTCCTCGTTGAAGTTCTTCATGGCTGAAGACACCGCCTCACAGGCTCTGCTGAATTTCGATTGAACCTAGGCTTGTTTCAAAGATTTGCAGTTCGCCTGTAGATCGAGCGTGATGAGCTGAATCATGAGATCTGGCACTGACCTGAGCCATCGATGGCATGTTTCTGTCGTCTTGAATCCTGGGAACAGACTCAGCCGATGGCTGGAAGTACTGCACGTGAGGGAACATCGCCCAGTCGGTGTATTTGGACCAGAAGATCGAACGTCTGAGATCAGTCTGACAGATGGATATGCACAGGCCTTCTATCCCTGCCAAGGCCCAGGCTCCACATCCAGAGGGCCGAAGCCGTCAAAAAAGGGCGAGTAGGGAAGGCGGTCCTGTGCCACGAACCATCATGCCCGCAATGTCGGGGTTGCACATGCACACAAGGTTGTCAGGATGCACCTCTTCTGGAATCAAAGATGAGAGCGCATGGCCTCTTCCAGAAAGCATTGCCGGAACTGGAATCGACTCAAAACCAAGCTATGCTCCGAGGCGGAAAGGCCGACGAGTTAGGATCTCCTAGTCTTCTCTATCCTCGCCCTCTATCCCAAAGGAGTCCCTGTGTAAGCTGGAATGATGCACTACTCGCGACGGAAGGGGCCAACAGCTGCTGAGTGGTTTTAAGTACGCACAAGCAAGACTGACGCATTGCAGCATGTGGTGCCGGTGTCAGCTTAGTTCCAAAACGTAAAGATAAGGGGTTGTGGTGCCCATCAAGTGACATCATGACAAAGACGTGTGACGTGCGACGGAGCTTCCTCGGCACATGACTCGTGTTATCTCTTCGGCGTGGAGCTAACATGGTTTGGCTGGGTGAGGTACTCAAAGTAATCTAAGGAAGATATTATTAGGGGATATTAAGGGGATTGAAGATGATGGAAGTTGCATTATCGGCAATAGCTCACAGGTGGAAGGAAGCAAATCCATAAGAGTTGTTCGAGGCTCTCGGCAGGGCTTAAGTGTGTCCAAACAACCCAATATTGCCCGATCGACATCCATTCCTCACAAAAAGGGCAGGTGCCTTCCCCAGGGAAAATTCTAGGCTGCTCCAAATCTGGTCGCGTGTGCTGACCTAGCATATCACTGCTGGGTCAAGTCGTGTCATTGATTTCAAGCAGTGACAAGCAAAGGCTTCAACCGAACACGCCCCAATGCCAGAGTTGGAAAGGAACCTCGCCGCGACTGGGATGCGACATGTAAACTGAAACAAGAGCATTGAGATTTTCACAACGCCGAGGAAATAACGAAAGTTGGCATGTTCATCGAGTAGAACTCCCAGAAAAACATCAAGGAGGTATCATAAGGGAATCCCACCTTGCCGGTGCAGCCGGTTTAGCGATGCTGTTTGAACATCTCCCTTTCCGCACGAGGGGGTCACCACAGCACGGAACTGCGCCAAAGACCGGTATGAGAGCGTGTTGTTGTAGACCTGTCTCTGCATCACGCTGCATCCGCAGTAGCGACTGGGCCATGTCTACATCCGAGCTTGCAGTATACAGTCGGGAGAGTCTACGGTCTGCAATGCATGCCTCTTCTGTTGTGTCCGGGTTCCTTGGCTTTCGATGTAGCTGCAAACATCGCTGTGGCACTGGAGCATGCTTCATTGCAGGTATGGTTCAACAAGTTTGTGAACTGCACGAATTTCAATTTATACTGGGGATTCGCGTCCACAAAACGATCCAGAACGCACTCTTGCCATCCGCCACTAGTCCCAGGACGTGAGACCAGAACCTGCAAGGCACATGGTGGTGCGCTTGCGAGATACATGTCCAACCAAAACGCCTTGACGCTCCTGCCTCTGAATTGCGAAGTGGGTAGTAAGTAGCGTTGGTGTGTAGGCCATGGATTCGAAGAGTCGGGATTTTGAGACCAGTTTGCCATGCAACCTGCAGAGTCGTGCAATCACCGGCAGATCGCTGCGATGTCTGCGGGGCAGCGCGTTTTCAGGAAAATCAGCCATCAAGCAAAATCCTGCAAGCCTCCTCGGCCAAGTACGCATTGTTGGCTGCAAGGATGTTCCTCTCACTTTTTCCCATTTCGACGAAAGCCTCCAAGAAGGACGTGCGGTCGTCTCGGTGGACATACTGCAGTATCGGCAGACCTGCACCGGGACAGCCGACAGCCCACTTCCCATCAGAATTCGGTCGCGACTCAGAAAAGTCTCGCTCACTCTCGCCTAGGTAGGCAAAAATCGGCGGATGGGCGCCATGGATCCGGTGATGAGCTTTGGCCGCATCCCACAGCAGCCAGCACCACACGGCAGGGATCGAACACATCCACACATCCTTAGAGCCGTATCGCCTTCTTCCCTCCGATAAGACACCACCAGCAAGCAACAGCGCAGCAATCGTCAGTCTAGCGTCGGCTTTTGCAAGCTGTGGCATCATCTCTTTTTGAAAACTCTCCGAGAGCTCGGAAAAGGCGGCATCCTCTGCCTGCGTCAGGGGAACGCAATGTCAGCAACGTCCCCTAACGTGCGAGACAACCGGCCTCAAATCGTGTGGACCTTCGGGCGATCATGACAAACTCATTGCCATCTCAACAAAAACCGCCAATTAGCTCAGCCCAGCACAACCAATCGAGGTACTCTCGGTTTCGGCCAGATGCGCACAGCGATGGTCGATAGTTGGCACAGAGTTGCATGGCGAGTGAGTTGCCATGGAACTCAATGCCGTAGTCATGAAGGAAGCCTGAGTCCAGCAGCGCAGCCACCGGCTCGCCGCACAACGTGCAGAAGACGGAAACAAAAACACATCAGACATGTGGCATGTCACAGCGACGAGCTGCGAGTGATCATCGTCACCGCCTCACCGGCCGTCGAAGTGTGGATGCAGAACTGCCAGACGACGAGATGCTGCTTCGGAGCTCCGAGTCCACGCCACTCGTGAGGAGGACCTTGAAAGGCAACGCGAGATTCCCCTTTTTGTAGGTGTCGGCTCGGCCAAGGAGCTTTCCCCGGGAAGGAGGAAGAAGGGAGCGGCCCCGGGAGCTGATTTCAGAGCCTCCGCGGTACCACGCCAGGCCAGTCGCTCCTGAGATCTCTACGCCTCTACAAACATCGAACCGTCAACGGGCCCAGAGGACCTCTGACGAGGGTCGTAGTAGAAGGCTGAGCCGTACTGTCCAGGATGTGCATAGTCTGGAGCAGAGTTCAACGGGATCCAAGTACCGCCGGCGTGGAAGTTCACCTCTGCTAGAAGTGGCCCTCATCTCGTGCATGTCGCGTGGTCGTCTGTCCTCCTACCTCTACACGGTCTTTCCGATGGGTCTTCCTGCAGATAAGCATCCAGCACGAGGAATGAAGAGACCGGCCAGGAAGAGGACTCCAAGAAGTCAAAGGAGTGATAGTGGCCTTCAGGTTGAGGCGCGTTTTTGGAACGGCGAGAACTACAAGAACTGAATGAACCGAATTGCCTAGAAGGTGCCGCGCGGTGTAGACATGTCGCAAAGCGTCTCCGACCTCTCCGACAGAGAGGCAACAGACTCAGAAAGAGCCAGTGTGAGCGTCTGAGTCAGTCTGAGTACTGCGCATACTCTGGAAGCTTGTGCCAGGCGAGCACCATCAGGGCCGTCAGATATCCATACAAACAGAAGCCCGAGGGTGCCTTGCAGAAGACAGCCGCCAAAGCACTGCAAAAGCGCACGGCCCGACACCTGAAGTGCTTGGTATTCAGTCTTGGTATTCTCAAAGTAGTGCCTGATGAGGTAGCGCCTCTGCGTGATGGCATCGATCCTAGAGTGACTAGCTAGCTGCAATAGAAACTGTGGGAAGCACTCGAAGTTGTTTGAGTCCCGACCTAAGTGTGCTCTGCATTGCTGTGCTCGCTGCAACTCATGAAGCCTACAGCCAACCATGAACACTGGCACTCCTTGCCAAAACGTCTTCTCGACATGCTTCCACCCTGGTGCTGTGGTATTACTTAAGGCCGCGGCAATCTCTGTGCAATTCGGCGACGAAGTCAAAGCCAAGCTCTGAGCTGCTGCGGCACTCCTCCCCTTAGTCGATCGCACACTGCACGTGTCGCATGCGAAACTTCATTCCTGAACAGCGACCCACTGAAAGCTCAAGCTTCTCGACGCCAGAGATCTGAAATGGCTTCTAATGGGTGAATCTGAAGATTTCTGAAGTGAATGCTTCCTCGACCCTGACGTTTTGCACAGTCTGCGAAATTAGCAGCAACACGTGCACAAGCTCTGGGGCTGGCTAGCCATACAACCGGCATGCCAGAAGAGATTGGAGCAGATGTTGCGGCCAGAGTCAAAATGTGCAGGAGGGGAGCTCAAAATCAAGATGACACTTTCTGCCCTCAATCGACGGTCACTGATACTGCGCATATCACGGGGCAGCAGACGACCGACATGAAAAAGAACGGAGCTGGACGCACTCCGTTGAGACCCTTTGCTGCAGCGTTCACCGCACATGACCCCAAGAACTGACAGGCCCAGGTCGGGTCAAGTCACCGACGGGCAGAGCTGCACTCGCCCGTCTGGATGATCTCTTGGGATAGGCAGCATAAGCACCACTGAGGGAAGGGGAAGCCAGCCAATCAAACACACATCGAGGCATATCCGGTCGCCGCCGGCTGTCATGGTTGGGGTTTTCTCCCGGTTATTCCTTCTTCTTTGAATCTTTTCTCGGCCTTTCGATATTCCTTTCTTTGATGATACTGGTAGCTTGCTGGGGTCTCCAACCTGGTCTACCAATTTCGAAGATGATGAGCTGTTCAGGCTGTTCAGTCTGGATGCATTGACGTTAGTGCCTAGTGCAATCTCGGCTGTTTGCAGGATGGTCAGACCGGATATCAGTGTCCAATGCAAGCCTCTTCGTCGAGCTGGTACTTGCATGGACAGCCCTCCCCTGCTGATCATTCTCGCTGACAATCATTCCGAAAGCAGTAGCAGCAGTAACATTGATTACGCCATTACGCAAAACCCTTCCTCAGGTACAGGGTTTACACACACACACACACGGCCCCAGTAAAACAGGTTGCCGAAACTTCACAAACCGAAGAAAACGCTCCAAGTTGCAAACGGGCAAAAACCGATAATCTCTCTGCTGAGAAGACTGCTTTGCTTCCATTATCCGTTCACAGCTTGTGATGGCGGAAGTTCCGGTATCGCTTGGGCGATAACAACTGTTGCGACGAATCGTTCGTAAGCTTCTCAACTTGGAAGCTCAGGAAAGTTGTGAGTCTGTTCGGTTGTAGCCTCAGCAACTGCAGTCTCTTGTTGAAGATCCCGAACTTGGTGCTGTAGAGAATTGAGTTGAGCAGCTGAGCTTGCGGTATTTTGAGTGCTGAAGTACACACTCCCAAGCCACAGCAGAGATGGCTGTGGCATGCTATGGCCCACATGGGCTTTGTAGATAAGTCCCTGACCATGCCGAGATCTCGGGCAGACCCAGTGATTCCACTGCTCCTGGAGCGGATCACGAACTGACGAATTCTCAGTTCCCCTCTCACTCTCTCTCACGCCTCTATCTTCAAGGCCATTCTCTCCAATGCTTCTGACCTTTTGAAGCCATCGGCCACAGCCTGCGGCATTGAAGCATGGGAATTCAAGCACAATGCACTGAATACACAATTAGTACTGGCTTTCGCTGGCGACACTGACATGCACCGGAAAGGACCAGGTTTTCTGTTGGCAAGCACGGACTGCAAAGTGAAGTGCTGCACGTCCGTGGCGCTTCCGAACGTTGATGCATGGCTTTCTGTATGCATTTCCTAGATTCGAGATCAGGGCAACGGGTAGGGAAAAGAAGGTGCAGAGTGAGCCTCCGCTGCAGCCAAGCGAAAGTAACGCCACTCCTAGGGCCCGGGCTAAGCTCGGCTGATGTCCCATGCACTGTGCACTCTTGGCAGTCGCAAGCCTGAGGCCAGCCTTCTCCCTCGCAGTCCAACATGTGGGGCACCTGGCAGTTCCGTACCCCGCACTGTGCGGAATGTGATTCTCTCATTTCGGAGCTGTGCATGGTTGTCACGGCCTCCAACCCGTCTGCTTCTCGCCCACGTGCATCCTCTCTCCACAGGCCGGAAAACTGCTGCCTATGCAACAGCCAGTGAAGTCCTCTCCCAGTGTCCAGAACGTGACTTGCCTCACTGAACAAGCATCCGGGCTTGCAAAAGTCCTCGTTAAGCACAAGCTCGCTAAGCCAGCGGCCACAGCCACAGACATGACCAGACCCGATGCACCATTGCTAATGCAGTCACCAGGGGAGCTCTCAGGATTGCTGCGCTTGCAAAATGCAAGGAACTATATAACTATAACAGCGTCAAGCAGCCACCGTCTCGCATAATCCAATGCGGTCTTGATTCAATGAACACTTGCTGAAACGTTCGCCACGATCACTTGAAGATCATGCCGTTCACACTGGTTTGAAGATGTGTATGTTGACAAAAAGTTGCTCGCTCATGCCCGTTCTGACCACTGGTCAGCAAGATAAAGGCCGGTAAGGTGGATTCCTCCAGCATCCGCTGCGAAAAGCCGCCGGGCGCACAGCCCAAGTCCTCGCTTTCACCAGTGTCTGTGAGCAGTTTTCCGAAGACAGCCTGCATGTTCCCTTGCGTCCAGAAATGAGAACTTGTCTCTGAAGGCAGCAGGATGCTTCTCGATGGCCTCGTTCAGCACCTGCACACACCAGGCGCCAGGCCAAGGTTCTTTGGGACTGTTCCCCGCCTGGTAAGTCTTTGCGAAGTGAATCTGCGCCTTGCTACATGGTTTGCGTAGGATTCCGCTGTACGCTCGACATGCAACAGCGGCGAGCACGTCACGAGCACAATGTATTGCACACCCGCAGATTCGATCCAAGAGTGTTCATGTCAAGCCGCATGACTTCCACACTGCGGCAAACAGTTGAAATACCAGCACCACCACCACCACCACCGCCACCACCACCACCACCACCACCACCACCACCACTCCCACTCCACTACCTCTACCCATACAGCTACCGTTTACCACTACTGCTAGGCCTCGTGCTAATGCTGGTGCTCAAACCTCTGCACACTTGTTTTGTCACGAGCTGCGCTAAAGAGCGGAGTGGATTATTTGTCGCACGACGAACTGAACGAAAAAAGTGCGTGGCCGACCCTCCCACGACGCGACATGCCCAAAGAGGGAACAGAGCGGCAGCCACACCCCCTGGACACGCGCAGAGGAGGGCCGATGCACCCAATGGCACAAACCCGCAGCCCTCCCAGCTGCCCCCGCACAGGGTCAATATCCAAAACAGCCAGCTGGCATCCACCTCACCCTTTCGACGCAGCTAAAAGTAGCAGGCTCAGGAGTGAAGTGAAGAAAGCAGAAAGATGGACACAAGGTGGGTGGGCGGGGAGAGTCATTAGACTTGTAATCCGGCCTTGCTTTCAGAGCCAATGCTCGAACCTGCCGTAACGTGGGCACTGATAACTGGAGTTCGGAGAGTTGAGCCATGTTGAGCCATCCCATCACAAAGGTAAATTCGCCATGCCGTCCAGCGCCCCTTGAGGCACACACTAAAGACAGCTCGTTCGCCGAAACTCATGTGTGGCTCCACCCCTTCGTAAAGAGTACCACCGACATCCACCGATACGGTGCCGTGATGTTGAGCTTGGCGAGCAATTCATTCATTTCGTTGCAACTCGGGGCAAACTTGGCAGATGGGATCCCCTGGAGCTTTTCCTTCGTAATAATTGGCCACTGCAGTGCCGTCATCAATGTGCAACGATTCAACTGCCCCTTGTCACTGACCACTTTTGGAGAGGGGCAGAATCCAAGCACCTTTGCCCTTTGACAATGCGAAGTCTCCCACCTTGGCCGGAAAGAGCTCCCCAGACCTTGCAAAATGTGGAAGCCCAGGATGAAGAGGACTGCTGTGTCACCCCAACCCGATTCGAAGGCCAGCTGAGCCAAAACATAAACCAAAGCTACGGTAACGGCGGGGCTTTGGCTGGCAACACTCACCTCCCCGAGTGCCGGGAGTCGCAGGAACCTGTTTGGGGAGTAACGGTGGAAACCATCCTGGAGGTCGTAACCACGGGAACGAGGGCTAGTAGAAACACAGGAACCGCACCGGGAGCGTAACAGGAACTATCCCAAGAAAACCAAGCAACCGAAACTATGTTGGAACTCTTGTGTGGGGGACCGGTTTCGGTCCCCTACTTTGACACCATGAAAGCCTTATGCTGACGCCTATGTTTCGTTCGAGGCATATAGAGATTGGGGTTGAAACAGATTCACAGTCTGGGATATAGGATGCCAGTGGCAATACAGTCCTTGCCTCTGAAGCCACACATTGTTTCTTCATACTGTTTTTGTCGAAAGAATATGGATGTTTTATCTTACAAGAGGGTTCGTACTAACGCAAGTCGAAGTTGTCCTACTACGAGTACTACTATATGGTGGCGGGGCTAGGCTTTTGCACGCCATCGTGGACTGACCAGCGCCAGCTTGATGTGTTTTCTGGTTTGAAGGTTCAGGCTTTCAGGTTCTGGGACTTTGAGGTTGTAGAGGTATTTAGGAGGTTTAGGGGTTCAGTTTTTTGGAGATTAGGGTTGACGGGTCAGGTTCTAGGGTTCAGGCGTTGAGAACGGCTTTAAACGCTCGACAACGGCTTTAAACGCCCCCAGAACGGCTTTGGGGGTTTGGGGTTTCGGTCAGCTTAGCACCAGAAGTAGGACGAAGAAAGAAGTGACGGCGGCATGGGGGGTGTGACAGGAACTGGTGGTTGGTGTTACAGGATCGGTCCCCGTTCCCGTTACGGGTTCCCATTACGCACATCCTGTTCCCGTTACGGCAAACACTCTCACCTCCCCCAGGCTGCCGGAAGACGCCAACCGACCGCTTTACGCTCAACTTTCTCTCCTCCCTAGTGAATTTACCCGGGACAGCTTGCCCCTAGGCATCTCCCGAGGCGCGCTTCCGCACCCAGCGACTCGGTCCGTCGCCGGGATTCCATTGACTCTTCACCCATATCACCAGCAAACGCAGCCGCTGAAAAGAGCAGCTAACCGGCTCCTGTGGGACACTCGGAACTCGGCTACCGTGTCCATCAGCACGTCCTCGGAGGCCTCGCTACGCACCTTCAGTGCTGTCATCACGACAGGGTTTACACGTGAAGGCCCTGACATGGCGGCGGCTCTAGCCTGAAAAGCCGAAAAACTCGAGCTGCAGTGGTTTCTGCAGCTGCTTGTGTGTTTGCTTCCTAACTGGTAGCAAACACAAAAAGAACCTTCACATGCCTAACTTGTCACTGTGTGCACACGTGCACTGCCCCACAAAGGGAAACACCATGAGTTGTTCTCTAAGTCTTCCTTTGTGCGTTGGCGAAGATACCCCTTCCACGCAACAATTCCACCAATCCTTGCCGTTGGCATGTTTCTTCATGTTTCGTCGCTCCAAGTGCCGCACGCACGAAGTGCTATCTGCTTCAAGATACATCTCGTTCATCCGATGTAAGCTGTGCTCGCCGGGTCTGCCATCTTTGTTCTCGGTTGGACCTTCCGCCCTTGTGCACTCCAAGGCCCCATAGAGTTTCTGGGTCGAAACTGCCTGCCGAGAGAATTTCGTGCCGAACCCATGCTGCGCGAATCTCCAAGACTCCTAGACATCTGTCCAATTAACTAGCGAGGTCGAGTTCATCAGCGATAGCGTGACATGACGTGCTCCACTGCAAAGACAACAGCATCACCAGATTGTCCCCCGACAACGCTTGACCTCCACGTTGGATGGACAGGCGGGGTCTTTGGGCCAACGGCCCCGTCGGCCACTTACGCTGTTTATAACACGAAGCGGCGACAGAGGGAGCTCCCCAAACCCAAGTGGAAAGCAGAGAGGCCCAGGCCCAAGTGGGTAAAGGCACGTGTGACGCGCAGACCACGTGGCCAAGTGCACAGATGCTTCGCACCCGAGACTGCAGCGGTGCGCTCGTCCGCCGCGGTTTTGGGACCGAGATGGTCTACGCTGTTGGCCTGACACTGACCAGAACGATCATGCTCCGCACTAGGACCGCAATGGAAGTTCACTGCAGCTCTTTCTCTGCGGGTCGTGGTCATGCCAGCGCCACTCAGTTTGCCGATGGGCCTCAGTGACTTCAAGGCTTGAAACCTCAGAACCGACATTCTACAGAGCGACGCGGGACAGCCGTGGTCACAGTCAGTCGCAACTGGTTCTGCGAACACCGTCCGAGCTTTGAGGCCTACGCGTTTCTTGCGGGACGGGGCGACGCCACCCTCGGGTCGGAGCGATTCGGAACGCAATAAGGAGTGCAAACGGCAAGTCCTACGCGAGCCCTTTTTGGACAGCAGCTTGTTAGTTAAGTTATGTCGAAAGTCTCGAAAAAAAGATTTCTGTCGATCCACCTCGCGGAAGCCGTTTTTGAAGCGTCGTGCAATGTGCTTCACATACCTGTCATTCCCACGTCATGCTGCTGCTTCTACATCTCTACGGGTCCAGCAAGCCTGTGTATGGCATAGCTGTGCGGATTACTGTCATTGAAATCTGAAACGGTGCAGTAACTGATGTTACGACACGAATGCGACATGAGCATCAACTACACGGAACTTGCCACGTCGCCTCATTCGTCCTGTGCCTGGAGCTCGGCGGCGCTTGGACTGCAGCATGGTTGTTGCACGTCAAGTTTTGTGATCTCACGAGCAGCATGTCGAAGGCATCAAGCATTCAAAGCCTTCTTGGACCACTCGTAAGAGCGGATCTTCGCGGCAGGGTAGCCGCATGCAGCCTCAGAAGACATGTGTTGGTGGAGTTGCCCGAGTTGCCGGCACGACACAAACGAACCATCTGAATCTGCAGCCGTAATACGCATTTCTTGTTCTGTATGTGGTAGGAGCGCTTGCCACACCGTGGGCACAAGGCGTGCGTCCTTGTGAAGTCTAGCTTTTGCAGATGCTTCCTTGATGAAAACTCTCCCCAAAGCATCAACAACAACACTTCAGGTGCGCACTTCTTGTGGCGCTTCCCCATTGCCGGGGTCCCGTCACCACCTGTCTGCGTGCTCGGGTAACTTACATCGAGAAGTCGTACGGCCTGCAGCTGTGGCGATGTCAACTGTTTTGTGTACTGTAGCAGCAGCCCGCTGTGACCGAATTATGTTTTCATGTTGCGCGATCATATGCGACAACACAAGGACCACTAGCATGTTCGTACTGGAATAGGTGCAAGTCCACATCAGTGCAAGTCGGGCTCCTCCAGGCAGGCGAGATACGACCTCGTGACGTGACATCTGAGAAGTGGCCTTGTCTTGTCTGCTGACGCCCAGAGGAAGCTTGCAGAAGCAAGTAGGGCTGGTGCCATCAAAGTCGATCCCTCAGCAACCTGGACAAGGAGAACAAGCGTGACCGGCAATACTGTATGCACGGCATGTACGTGCTCTTACATGTATTGGCCTGGCATCCGCCGAGTGTCATATCATCTTCCAACCACCTAAGTTGAGGACTTGGCCGTGGGCCAGCTGCCCGGATGCCTTTTGTTATAATCCGTTCTCGTGTACAACGGTAGGATTCGTGCTGACCTCCGAAGCACAGCCCGTCATCTTGAATGCCCAAAGCTGCCTGGATGGCTGCATAACTGCCAATCCAGCACTGTGAAGGGCGTGCAAAGGCGAATAAGCACGTAGAGTTAGTTCAGCTAGGCGAAGGGGCCTTCACATCAAGAATGGAGCTGCTCTCCTCGCCAGGCTATGTCGAGAAAACGATTCGCACTCGACTGCTGGATGATCAGCAATGCGACGCTCTGCCTCCACGTGGAGAACCACAGAATCACCGGAAGCTGTCCTCGTGGATGATCAGGGCTCGTGACGTCCGAAACTAGGCGAGTATCTGAAACGCATCGCTTTTGATGGGAGAAGTCCTTGCAAACAGCTGCATGTTGCCTACGGCCAAACCCGACCCGCAGTCTAACCTGGTTTGGGCCATATGCCGAGGCGTGCTTGCGACCCAAAGACCACGAGAAGTCCGACTGGATACTGCAGCAGTGCCTGCGGCCAAGCATCGCCTTCCTGACAGATCGGAGGATCGGAGGCTCTGCGCATCGAGTACAGTCCTTCATGCAGCCTATGGCCCGTGGCCCGGTCCTCTGCGGCTTCGCCCCACCAGGATCCGTCCCAAGAGCCTTGGGCAACGCAGGCCGCAGCTTCGCAACTTCCTTGTGGTACACAGCCCCTAGTGCTTTGAAAGCTCTTTGTCCTCTCTGTCGTGTTGCGTCCAGGTGGGTAGTCAGCAAGACATGTCGTCATTGGTCTTGCAACGTCCACTGTCCGACTTGGCACTGGTGCTCTCCAACTTCATGCATTGCATTGCAGCATACTTCAATCAGTCCCTCTGAATCAGAAGACCACTATCCATGCGGACCACTCATGGCAGGAGAGCAACGCCCGGCTAGAAGCCATTTTCCGAGACTGAGTTCAAAGAAGCAGCATGCGCCTTCGCCTCGGAGGTAGCACATCACAGCAGGAACCCGCTGAGAAGAGCCTGAGACATCGGCACCACCTCCAGCCGAAACTCGAGCTGAGATAGAAATCGCTCAGCCATCCTGGCGACCGGAAATCTTTTCAAAAATCGCAGGGCCCGGGCCAAGTGCAACCATCCAGTACCCCGGAACAGTTTTTCATGCAGGGACAGGACGGGACGGACGGGAGGGGACGGGACCTGGACGGGACGGGCGGGACGGTACCCCCGTCGATGGCAGCTCCCAACCGCGATATCCTGTCTCAGAAAAGCAAATTCTTCGATAGCATCACGAATATGTGTTCAATGTCTCGGCGCCGACACATCTTGCGATGTCATATGAAGAAGTGGTTGTCGATATCCTTCTCCACCTTCGTCATCCAAGGCTCCTTGCTTGCCTAGATTGAACATGCCGGCGATCTATTTAGAGGGAGGTGAACGCGCATGGTCATGAATCACTGAGTCACCACGGTACCTACTGCTTGTCGCTCACCGAAAGGATTCAGAATCAACTGCAGTGCCCTTCTTCTGTCTGTTGTCTGTCAGATTTTTCACATAGCCGACATAGCCGCACTGGCGGCATTACCATGATTTGCTCTTGCGAGCGACTTCAGGCTTGCCAGGACCGCCCGCGTTGCGCTGTTGAGGGTGGCGGGCTATAGTACTCTTACGTGTCTGCGAATTCCATGCCAGTGCTGCGCGTCGTTGGGCTGCCACTCTAGCTGCGACCGCGCCTGGCACAGGCAGGTCATCATGGCAGCGACACACTTTCCACGCAATGACCAGTGCATACCAGTGCGCAATTTCAAGTTGAAAGGGCCTTGCTAGGACTGCTAGGACCTCGACTCAAACCTGTTTTAGGCTGGTGGCTGCGTCGACCGCCGCCGGCAGATTGCCCAGCCGCAGGAGGACCTTCAAAAGCTCCGAAACGGCACAGCACGGCACAGTGCCCTGCCACGCACCACAACCTTCCCACTACAAGTCAGCCTTGCTCTTGCAAAGTCGAGCATAGAAGAGGCGAGGATTGATCCTTGGCTGCTGTGCTCACAGGAACTGGCAAGCTGAGAGAAGAATCTCGAAAAAAAATTAGACTCGAGGATGTGGAATAACATCTTGGGTGCTTGGTAAGACGAGGAGCCTGTTGCTACAGATCGGCAAGAGGAGGCATCGAATGTAAGCATATCTTAAGCATCTGAGGTCGCGGCTGAAGAGCCTTCTCTAGCAACCCGAGCGCGCGCTGGTCGTCCTGGGCAGGGCAGTGGCTTGTCTCAGTGCCTGCGACGAACGATTTTTATTCGGATAAGCAGGAGTTCAGGAGGACATAGGACGGCGCCGCTATCAAGTGATGCTCAATTTCACGCCCAGTCCTCCCCAAAAAGTTCAGCTCCCAGATTGGCAAGTGCATATGGGTTCCTGGCATGTGAAACACAAAATCTCACAAGGCTGCCTGCAGCGTCAGATCAAAGGTTTCCACAACAGTCCAGGACCGGTCAAAGCGGGCTCGAGCCACTCGCTGTCCAGCTCGATGGCCCGTTCCAGCAGCTCCATCTTCTCGGATCTCACAGGCACACGTGATCCCTTCTACAGGGCGATCTGTGCATCGTCGCCTGACGTGGACGAAAAGGGTAAGGCCGTTGACCTCCGGACAGCATCGACGAACTGGTGAACGACAAACGGCCCTAGCCGATAACTGAGCTTCCAACAGCGTATGAACAGTCCGGGCACTGGCGATAGGCTTGCCGGTAAAGCTCTTTGGCCTACCCGCATCAGGAGCAAGACATCGACACAAGAGCTTGGTCTGTGGACGCATGGAGATCAACAAAAAAGACAGTGATGGAAAGGTACGCAAGAAGGATGTGAAGGTCGGAGAGCAGAACAAAAGAAGTGGAGACGAGGAGGGCGTTCCATGACAAAGCCCAAGTATGCCCAAGTAGCAGGCGGTAGCCTCCAACAGCAGCCGCTCTCTTAAAGCTTCGATTCTGGAAGCGCTGTCCTCCGCCTAGCGACGATTTCCGGTTTTCCTCAACACAGCAATGCCACTTTTCTGGTGCCTCTTCACCTTCCACAGGCCTTCCACACAGGTAAATGGTGGCACGGCTAGCGGCAGCCCTATGATGCAACGTAGCGCCTCGGCAGCCGACCCGCGTCATCGCTGTCGTTCCTGCCCCGCAGATTTAGCTCATCAGTGGCTGATTGGCAGTCTGCCGACAGCAAGGCATATCCAAGCCTCGATCCGACACCCTCGCCTTGTTCAGGCGGCTGTGGCTCCAAGGCAGGGCCTGGGCGCTGCACCTGATCACCGTGGTAGCCTTGGTCCCTTCGCTCCGATCGATTCGTCTCTTCCCCCGGCTCCGCAACGACCGTCGCCAGAGGTGGACGACTAGAGGGAGACATCGGCGAGCGCGAAAGAAACATCGCAGGATTCGGTTCTTCTTCCTCCTCTTCTTGGGTGCCTCCGTCAATGACGGCCGGAAGTGGGGTTGTTGAGCTGGAACTGTCACGCGAGCTCTGCTCCGGCTGACGAACGGTAAGCAGAGACACAGCCCTACCGTAGAGCGTGTCTGCCAAGCGGCATATTGCCAGGGGCCGCCCTGGCAGCAGCCGTATGAGGGCACGCAGATGCCCCTCAGCTTCTTCAAAGCTCTTCTGCTCGTAAAGTTCCAGGCCCTTTGAGAAGTGCCAAGTGCTTGCAGCTGCACGAAGGTGTTTCCAAGGTCCGGGTTGACGAGCCAGCTCAGGATCTTCAGCGGGGCGCCACCGTGCATGTGCCGGAATGCGCCCTTCCAACTCTTTCATTCGCCAGGAAGCGCTGTCCCAAAGTAAGGGGGATGCTCCATGCCCAAGGAGCCGCTGTGAGCAGGCAAGGCACGAAGCTAGATCTGAAAAACCCAAGTAGTCCACGGCACCTATCAGAGAGTCGGCGTTGGCATCGCCCAGTGACTCTGCCAAGCAAGGCATCCGCCCCAGCGAGGAACTTTGGCGAGGGGCTGTGGAGCGAAATCAGGCTAAATGTTAAAAGAAAGCTGCATGGCTTCATGGAACATACTCAGGCTGAGGCAACCAACCTGTAGACACTATCAAACTAGCTGCTCAAAGTCACGAGTTGAAATCGGAATCGACCTGGCTTTAGCAAGATGTGACCTACCGTGAACTGGAACACACAATCGCGGCTGCGCAAAACCTCGGGGTGGAACCACCGTTCAAACTACGCCAAAGCTGGCATGCTGCCACCTCCTGCGAGATATGCAACATCAAGCTTAAGCACTCATTTCTGGGTGCCTCGAATCGAGGCGTGCCCTCTCGGCGCCGGGCAAGCAGCATCAGACCATCCAGGGTGCCAAACACCTGTGGCACGCGCTTGCTTGGGCGAATTGAGCATCAAAGTGGTGGCTGCTTGGCCAAGTTCATTTTGCACCAGGGATCTATCGGAGGCCAGATGCGAGTCTCACTGAATGATGCCATCTGATGCTATTTCACCACACAGCTCTTTACGGTTCTTTCGAAGCGGTGCTTTACCACCCCTTTTATTTCCGATATTGCTCTGAGAGATGGCGATTCCTTTAGCTCATGACTGCAAACCCTGATTCGAAGGTGTTGCGGCGTTGCGTCAGGGCTTCGCTCCCCTCTTCCAGGATGATGGGTACTGTAGGAAGTGGTTTTATTCCAGCCAGTCCGACACCCAGATGCAGTTCGGCTGCAAAGAGCACAGCACTTCGATATGTCTGCGACTGCAAACTTGGGGCTACCACTACAGATCTCCATGCAGGAGCGGCGAGCTAGACACAAAGCGAATGTGCCTCCAGAGTGGGACTCCCAGCTACGGCTGTCCCCAATACGAATGCCAAATAAATGACGGTCCGCTTGCACATTTCCAAGAGGGAATTCAGGGCACTGCGTGTCTTCTTGCGAAGCTACAAGCACTATCCGACGCCAGCTTCGGCAGCCTGGCCACATGGTAAAGATCTGTGCGTATGAACGGAAGGCCTGACGCTGGTTGAAGACACGGCACGCAGCAAATGGTCAAACGGATTCCAACGAGACGTCGCGGTTTTACACGCCTGGCGTCTCTCAACACCCCAGGTTTCTGCATGCGTTTGATGCTTTACAGGGTTCGTTGCGATGAAAGTTTCGCGGCAGGCGTGAGCAAGAACATGCAGCACTGCAGGACCTACCTGAAGCGATGTTCTCCTCGCATTGAACTGAAAGTGTGGGCCGCGAGTGATACTGTCTGGAAGCGGTGACACAAAACTCTGCATGATCATGGTCTCGTTTCAGGCGCCATGTGCACAGAGCCCGGTATTGTCGAAGGATAGGCACTAGTTTAGCGACTACGCCTGACTACGCAGCGTCTTAGGCTGGTTCCATTAAACTTGATTGATCAGACGAGCTTCAGTGCTTGCCCACTTACACTCTAAACAGGCTTAGTCGAATTGTGGATGAGATCGTCATCATGCGACCGGCCTTCATGCCATGCCCACGTCGCATCCTCGTGCCACGTGTGTCCTCTGAAACAGGACCGGCAGCTCGAGCTCTTTTTCCGTGGACCGGGAGACCTTGTGCAGCGAAGCTTCCAGCATGCCAGCCTTCGCCGTGGTAGTAGCCCATGTCTCAGTGATTCAGTCGCAGACAAAATGCCAAACTGGACGAAGATCAGGTATGGGAAGACTGAGACGGGCACTGTGGCTAGCATCCATCGATGCGTCATGCCATCGTAGCGGAGCTTGGACCGGTCATGGACTTCGTAGATTTGGTGTACAACAGACTAGCTTTGGGGAATATTGCTCTGCAAGCCTATGCTGTGATAACAAATCTCCTTGGCAGGTCGATCGTGCTTGTAGATGCTGGCGACATGCTCTGCGACCACTACACCTGAGCAAGCTGCAGAAACGGATCCCAACATGGCACGGACCGTCATCTCTCTTCTCTCATCTTCATTGCTGTATTCTATGGTGAACGAGCACCGCGTCCCACGCTTTCGCCGCAGCATGCCGCAGCCAGACATGTTTATGTACACTGCAGGGCTGGCCCTGCACATGGCGGACGGAAAGGGCTACAGCAGGTCGTCGTCCTGACAGAAGGACTGGGCTGATTTGTGAAGACAGGATTGCACAAACCAAGATTCCACAGCGAGGTGTCCTCAAAGGGGTTCTTCCATTCCTTGACTGTAATTGAGAGTCGTCTGCCCAAGGGATCCCGCGTCCCCAGTTATGCGGCCTGACGCTGGGGCTTTGCAGCATCCACCCAAGCTTCTCCTCCAACTCTCGCCAGACACGTGGCAGTGCAGAACTTGCGACACAGGATCTGTTCTCTGTGCTATTCGTAGTTGCGCTTAAAGCTTCAAGCGCTGCCGCCGAGATTACGCAAAGGCACCCAACCCAAAAGAAACACCACATTGCTACCTTCATCTTGTGCATTCCCCTGCCAACATTTGCTTCAACGGCGAATACGGGATTACCACGGCCTGGCTGTTTTGAACGGCACTGTCCTTCCAATCAATGAAGGAGCTTAAGCATATCGAGCATTTTTCAGTTAATATCAATGCAGGCGATGGCGAATTGTTTATGCCAGTCTGTTCGTGCAGCCCTGAATCTATGCTGATGTTGATGGCAGCCATGATTTTACGACTTTCATCGATCTTGCAGGGGGACGTGGGATGAGATCACGGATCACATCCAACGGAGCTACCTCATCTCACGGAAAGCAGAGCTTGGCCAGCCCGGTATACATGCACTGACACCGCAAAGGGCTAATCCCCGGACCTCAGCCGGCAGGAACCAACACGTAACACTGTGACAGTACATGAACCTTGAAGGATGTCACACCCGAAGATCATCTCCTGCTACATGAGAACGGATTGGAATGTAATGCACCATCTATATTGCCGAGTTATTCTCACATGTCGCCTTTGTCGCCCACGGGCTTGGGCATTGTCACTTTCCGGGTTGGAGTCGGAAAAAACGAACTGAACAGGAAGAGCTGTCCCAGGGATCGTTGTTGGCGCGGGCAGCACCAAAAGAAGAGTGAGCGCGAGTCTCTCTAAAGTACAGCACGAAAGACTCGCATGTTTTATTGACGCTTCCTGTCTCGCCCGTCGACGCCACTGACGACGACGACGAGGATGTCTGAGCTCTCTTTACTTTTCTCGTTTAGGCTCTCCCTCTTCCTCCTCCTCCTCCTCGTCCTCCTCCTCTCCTTCCTTTTGGTTTCGCCTCTTTGCTTTGCTAGGAGCTAGAGCCAGGGTCCCCCTGTCTCCCCTCTCGCTGTCTCGCTCTCTCTCTCGCTCTGTGCTTAGGCGTCCAGTCTCAGTCTTGTCTAGTTTCCCTCGAAAGAGGTGTGTGTGTGTGTGTGTGTGTGTGTCTGTCTGTCTGTGTGTGTGTGCAGAAGCCCTGATTCTCCACTAAGGGTAGGTAGTAACCAGGATTTTGAAAGTTACGATTTCGGATGTGGCATGAGATTAGGAATCACAGGTAAACTCGCAGCATGACATGCAGCGAGTTTACCTCATCTAGTTTCGCCAGATCTGTGTACCTGCACTGATACTGCACTGATATCACAAGAGACTAAGCAACGGCCCTCAGGAGTGACAGTACGTGAACGTTGCCAGAACTGGAAGGATGTCACAACCTCAGGCCATCGCCCGCTACATCGGGCATAGATTGGAATGTAGTGGAGGAGTCGTACATTGACACGACTCCTCCAGACATGTCGGAAGCGATTTCTGAAACTTGATCCGCCAGCCGCCTTAAACTCACGTTTGGTTACTTTGCTTTCTGTTTCAATTGGATGCTGGTGTCCAGTGCGAAGACGCCGACACGCCATGTTGCACGCTGTACAGATATGACAACCCAAGCATTGATGGCCTGGGTCTCGAAGAATGTCAGCCCCTTTATCCGTCGCCACATCATCCACTTGGGCCACGGATGGACCTGGTGTAAGGAAGTTGTCCAACCCTGTCTGCTAAGCTACTAAGCCGAGGCGACCTTGTGCAAATGCACCAAATCGACGCATGTGGACCTCTACGAAAAGGGTCACCTCCGGCAACATGCATGCAGCGAGGGCCATCCCAGTCCCAGTCCGCCTCATCTGGTCTGGACAAGTATGGAAAATCACCTCTGGACTTCAGCTCTGCGAAGCTGGCACCCTTGTACCTGTGGCAGTGAGTCTTGTACGGCTTTGCCAAGCCGCCCTAGGAGATGCTTTGCAATCTTGGGGGCGCAGCTCCATAGTCCAACAGCACATCTTGATCCAAGATTGGGCAGCACGCAAGCAAGGCAGGGTGCATGTTGATACAGTTGCTCCTAGTCAGCCGCGAAAAGCAGAAGGGGGCACAATAGCTTGAGCTGTCGTCGCAGCTCTTCAGGAACCATCGTGTCACCGCTGGACTCCAGAATCGTTATCTGAGCAGGTGCTGGTTGTGCTGCATCGTACAGAAGCGTCCATCCGCACAGGCAACTTGCGATGCGAGGTACCAGCATCGATGTCATTAAAACTGCAGAAGTGTTTTTTTGGCCCCCAACCATGTGCTAGTGTCCCCCCATGTTTTTTTAATTCCCTACATGTTCAAATCAGCCCCGACTTGTGTTTTGTGGCCCCGACCCCTCGTATTCCGCCCCCCTCCCCCCCGGCACCCCCGCTTAATTATTATAATTAATTATTGTAATCAATATTACTATTGTTAATAATACGAATGTCAATGACTGCTTCCACTGATACTGTACTGCTACTGCTGCCGTTACCGCTACTCCTACTGCTACTGCTGCGGCTGCGCAGCCCTCCCTATTTGCAAACACAAGATCACGAGTTCTGAAAGGGTCCATATGGGTTCGGTTGATGCTGACAGTCGAGACTCGAAATGAAGCTGCGTGCCTTAAAGCCTTAAAGAAGCACAGCGGGTTGGGGAAGGTCGAAGCCCCACCACAATTCCAAACAGGATGTCCGTATGATGGGTTTCAAAAAAGTTCTATGAACGTCTACTTGACGCAAGTCTTTGATGGGGCGATGTTCTTGAAAGCAAGCTGGCACGGCGCGCATGAACTGCGAACCCAATCTCTGACACCACATTATCATGCAGAATGGAAGACATCGTCGGCATGTGCACCTTCGCGATTTTTGGGCTCTTGCAGCCACGCTTGACTTTCTAGTTGTCACCACGACTGACGGTGCGGAGGCTCAGACTCCAAAACTGCGTGATGGCGACTGAATTGAGTCACATGGAAAAACCTCACGCACAAAAGCCCATCTTACCTGTTCCTTTGCAAACACCGTGTCTGCGTCGCAGGTTCTGCAAGGTTCCATATGTGCTTTGATTTTTCTGGCCGGGTGCCATAGGGCGGCGCAGCGCCACTCCATTTCTAAACAGAGTGCCTGTATGACTGGGCAATTCCCATTTGTAGGATCTTTCCTTGCTGCAAGCTCTTCTTGACAGCAGGCCTGCGGCCGGCTTGGAAAGAAATCGCGGGGGTTGGGATGGTTGGGGGGGCGCAGCCGCCCCCATTTGCAAACACAAGGCAGGATGCCACGGGGCGCGCAGCCGCACCCAAGTTCCAAACCGAAAACTTGCATGATGGATTCTCATAAGTTCGTGCTTCAATCGGAAGATCGACATGGACAAAAGCTCAAGCACAGAAACCTGTATCACCTGTGAAATGCGAAAAGGAAGCGGGGGCTGCTGGTCCGGACAGGTCACATATTGCCGTGGTGAGCGCAGACTTGATGGGTCCGCTGCGCTTGACTTACTTGCAGCGACAGTTCTGCCAGCAGGCCTGCGGCCGGCTTAGACAGAAAGCGGTTGTTTCTCTTCATGCGTATAGGCAACACCAACAGTACCTTCGCAATAGCTGGAAGCACTATGAAGAACCCAAAAACATTCATTTTCTCGTGTTTCTCACTATTGCCGGCCTAGGTATTTTTTCCGTAAGATGCATCTTCTATGAATTTAGAAGCAAAAATTCACCCTAAACCTAAATTCAAAATTACTCTTTGCTCGCGACGGCTCTGAAAAAACCTAGGTTTTAGGCCAAAACCGACAATCCAGAAAATCATTAAAGATGCATGCACGCCTCAAAAACGACTTTGATGTCAAAAATGTGAAAAAACCCTATGGAACCTGCAGAACCTGATTTTGAGTATTCTGTCAAAACGCCAGGCTTTGCCGGCTTTTTCAAAAGCACCTCGCGCTATTTCGGGAACGGCTATTGGTCCGCCGCCACTGGCCTTAAAGGCAGAATCCCAAGCCCAAGAAGTGCCGGTAAACCTATATTGAAAAACAAATCACTTGTGCTGTGGCTCGGGAAAACCTAGGTTTTGACCCTCGAAGCAAAAGCCCGAAAATCCATGCTAGCTGCATCAGGCCCTCAAAACTGGATTTGCTTCCGAGATTTCTGCAAATTCTATGGATCCTGCAAAACCTGATTTTGCGTATTCTGCCAAGGAAAGAAAGCGAAGGGGGTCTACACAAACACTTTCTGCATGTGTTTGGACTTCGGGGAGGTGGGGGACATTCGAGGGCCCACACTCCACGAAAAGAAGGGCGGAGGGGGGGTCAATAAAACACGGTTCCCAAATGCGTTTCCTGTGTTTCTTTCCGCGGACCATGGCCCTGTCCCGGGGGGGGTGGGGGCGGCAATCAAGACATGTAATGCTTTTTTGGGTGTTCACAAAAGCAAAGAAGCAAGATACCGGGGTGAGACTGGAACTTACACGACAAGGTGCCCTGTGTCGGGGAGGGGCGGGGGTCCTGAGGCGGAGCATGGCCAGCCCTGTGCAGTGTGGCGGAAGGGCGGGGGGGGGGGATCAAGAGATGTTTTGATTTTTTTGGTAGGTTCGAGGGGGCAGAAAAACAATGTTCGGGGCCAGGATGCGGGGTCAAAAACACACGGTTTCCAAGTACAACTCGTGGGTGCCATTGGACGGAGCATAGCCTTGTGCCGTAAGGGGGAAGGGAATCAAGACATGCTTTGCAATACTTTGGGGCCCACGGCGACAAAAAAACGTTCCGGGGTCGGGGAGAACTGTGCCGGGGCCAAAAAGCATAGACCAAAGGCCAAGGGGCTGAAAGGAAATGGCAAGTAAAACCATAGAACCCCTAAAACCCTAAATTCCCAAAAACCCTAAATTCCCAAAAACCCTAAACCCTAAAACCCTAAATTCCCCAAAAACCCTAAAAACCGTAAAAACCCTAACTCCCAAACCCCTCTAAAGTCATACAAAGGCACCTCCTCGGCTAGGTCTTCTGCCAGGGCTCGGTCCGTCATGCGCCCATGGCAGAGGAGGCAGCATTACTGGGGTTCTTGTTAGGGTTTAGGGTTTAGGGTTAAGGGTTTAGGGTTTAGGGTTTAGGATTCTATTTAAGTTACCATAATAAGGAAAGCATATTATTTACTATAGATCCACATTATGGTAGCTTACATTGAATCCCTTAATAGGGTTTAGGGCTTGGGGGTTTAGGGTTTAGGGCTCGGGGTTTGGGGTTTACAGGGCTTGGGGTTTAGGGCTTGGGGTTTGCGGCTTGGGGTTTGGGGTTTAGGGCTTGGGGTTTGGGTTTAAGGCTTGGGGTTTGGGGTTTAGGGCTTGGGGTTTAGGGCTTAGGGTTTAGGGAAGCTAAAAGGGATTTCGCAAGGTTTCTGCAGCGGTGCTATTATAGAGTCTTGAATGCCCCTTAGGTGTAAATAATGGGGTTCTAGAAAGGTTTGGGGGTGTTCGGGCTACGCACCTTTAGGGTGATGGGCCTATGCGGATGAAGTCTGTATGGCGGTAGGGCTTTGGGCTTTTCTGCGTTAGGATTGCAAGGCTCGAGTTTCACCGAAATCCCCGGGCAATAGAAAAGTCAAGTATAGTTTCTTTGAACGTTAATCCTGAAACCCTATAAACCCTAGAAAGCCTACACCCTAAACTTCCGCGTGTGTCAGCTGAGTCACTCTGAGGAGCTGTCATATGTGCCTAAAGCGGGTCCAACCGTCTAACCCTTCCAAAGCCCAAATAAACTCACATGGATAAAACCCCTGCTAGAACCCTTTATACAAACACTAAAGCCTAAACCCGAAACCCCTAGACCCAAAGGCCCTTTAAGTGACCCAAAGCCACACTTAACCCTAGCACCCTGTGAGCCCGGTATATGAGGGTTTCCGAAAATAGGGGACCCTAAAATAGTACCCTAAATAGTAGGATCCGTATTACAAGGACCCGACAATAAGGTACCCTAAACCCTAAACCCCTAAACCCTAAACCCCAAACCCCAAAATAAGGTACCGTAATTGTCGGAAACTCCCAGATCGGAAGGTCCCATATGAGACCCTGGCTCCCAGCACTGGGCCGCTTCGGGCTCGTTCTGCACGGATACCTTCGTAGCGAAAAAGAGACAGGGTTTAGGTTTTAGGGGTTTAGGGTTTAGGGGTTTAGGGTTTAGGGTTTAGGGTTTAGGGGTTAGGGTGAAAAAGAGACCATGGGGTTTCAGCACTCACACTCGGACATGCCTGGGCGAGGTTACTGGTACGACCACAGGGTTTAGGGTTTAGGGACCCTTAAACCCTAGCGCGTACGGTTTAGGGTTTAGGGTTTAGGGCTTAGGGTTCAGGATGTAGGGCTGACCTGTAGCCGAAATGACCTACCTAGGGTATTTTCCCCTCCTACTGAACCTAAACCCTGAACCCTAAACCCTTAGCCCTAAACCCTGAACCCCAAAACTCCTGAGCCCCGAAGCCCGCGTCAAGCTATGTGACCTCTCCTAGGGAGCTGAAAACTCATCACGAAGCGAAGGGGTCCAGGGCTGAGAGTCTTTAGGATGTCGGGTTTAGGGGTTTANNGGGTTTAGGGCTTAGAGTTTTTGGGGCTTCGGGTATGAGGCTGCAGGGTTTACGGAGCAAGGGTAGCTTGCATAAGGCCCTTCTGGGACGATTCTGCAGATACTCACGTGCTAGATCCGTCTATCTGAATCACTCTGAATGATTTTTTGGGGGGTGTAGTGAACCCTAAACCCT